ATATATATATACATACATATATATATATATATATATATATATATATATATATATACACATATATATATACACATACATATACATATATATATATATATATATATATATATATTTCCTCATATATATATATATATATATATATTATAGATAATATACATTTACATATTGACAATTCTAATAAAAACATACATTTGTAAACGGCTATTTTTGCAATATTTAAAAATTTTATACATGTGAACAATTGTATGTCATGTATATAATATGCATTTATTTCCTTATATCAGATTTCTACATGGGATGCATTGAAGCCATGCGCCTCTGCAGGACAGAGAGTTCTTGTAGACATCTGAATAAAAGGCAGTTAGGGAAATTTACAGATTAATCGGGCTGTTGTTCAAATCAGAGCTGTTGTAGGATAAATCCGAGTGATTTTCTCTCTTGTGTGGTCTTGGATCGCTCATTCTGCGAGCGGCTCACTCGTTCTTTCACACTGGCCTGCTTCCAAAAACAATCAGCTTGGGAAATTACCTCCAAAAATCATGTCGGCTTAAACAAATAGCTCTCTGAGTGATGGCTCGTAACTGTTTGTATTCCAACCACTCCCGATGCTAATTATGTTGGTTAAAATGAAGGATGAGTTTAATTTGTAAGAGTCCTGAGGCACAAGTCCTTATGTAAGGACATTGTTGAACACATTGAGATTAGTGTTAGTAAAGCACAAGACAAGGCAAAAGGGCCCTTCGGTGTTACCTCATTTGGCTTAAACATTTATCAAAACAAATGTTTTCTCTTTTGTTTGCATCTAATTGTGGTGTTTTCTTTAGAATAATAATAGGAAACTTGTGTTTGAGGAGACCTAGAACTGCTGGATGATGAAGCGGCTTGTTCTGGGTATTAAGACACTTTTAGGAGGGAATTCAATCACAGGGTGAAACATGCCGATAGAGTCTCTGTCAATGTTTTAAGTGCCAACTTGGGTCCTTTAAATGTATGGCTTATTATAGAGTGTGTAATACATGAAAATGTACCACAGTTAACACCATGGTATTACAGTTATCTGATTTGTTTTGTAATGCTGGATACATCAAATGCGGAATTAAGTATTTGCATAAGTAATTCACTTACAATGTCAATGCAAACATGCAAACAGAGACAAATTTCCACCAGATGGCCTGAATGTAGGGCTGGGCGATATCTAGATTTTTTATAAAGTTTGACCGATTCACGATTTTGATTTTTTTTTATTGTGTAACCAGACAACTTAAAAGATTAAAACATTACTGAAGTAACATTCTCTTTATAAGTAACTTGAAAAAACCATCTGGTTAAGGAACATTGTATTTTTAATGGCCTTGCCATAAATGTAAATGTAAATAAATGATTGTAAAACTAAATAAATAAATGTAAAACAAATTCATGAGTTAAATATCGTTGCAGCAGATTTGAATAAAAAATATATATGTGTAAATATTGCAGTTGCAGGAATACAGAGGTATTTTTTGCAAGTTTTGCTGAGCCTAGCAAAGATTGGCTTTCAGCTCGGCTTTGACTTGGTCTTCTGATTGAATGACAGGTTGTAATGCTGCTGCCTTTTTCTTAAAAAGATACAATGGAAGTATGTAGGAAGTAGGACTGAACATGGAAAGCCTTATTTAACCCAATGTGTGAAGTTGTGGACGTATAGCAGGAGCAAATACATGCACCAGATGTGTGTCTAATATAAAATAATATATTTCATCTATTTTTCTTTTTCCCCCTTTTAAATATCGATCATTTCATGCACTTTGCGCCACTCTCTGTATTATGCTGCCTGATCTGTCTGGTTTTCAACTAGGTCCGCTAAATGATGTCATGGGGGCGGGTACTTTCATTTTCATTGCCACAGCTGCTGAGCTGCTGCTCACCTCTGCTCGTGTTCAAACCAAAATATCAGCGCGGTTCAAACTAAGATCGGCGCGGTTTTTCACATGGCAGGTTTTTACGTCCTACATACATGTTGAGATTGAGTTTATCGACTTGATGAGGGAATATGTCTTGACAATCCAGATGTGACTCAGACTAATGCAACAAGCAAAATCCCACATGACTTCACGCTTTAACAGACAATCAAGCAGGTCACACACCAGAAGCGCCGCGACACGGCGCGCAGCCGCACACATGACAGTTTAAACTGACACACCAGATGCGCACATTCGCATGATATTTAACATGAAACAAATCAGATGGCGCTCTGTGGCGAGGCTGAAATATAAATGCGTCCTGAATCGTGACTGGGCGGCGCCGGTGTGTGTATAGAAACCTGTTTAGAATTCTACAATCCATGGCGCTGCGTGGTGCTTCTGGTGTGCGACCTGCTTCATTCAGAGAGTGAACCAAAGTGCATTGGTGCCATTATAATGTATAAATTTGTTTTTTTAATCGCGATTTCTCGATGTAATATAAAATTGAATCGCCGTCAAAACGTAAATTTGAATTAATCGAAAAAGATCGAAAAAAATCGCCCAGCCCTACCTGAATGACACTAAAATGTGTGATGCGTTTGCTAAGAAAACGCAAAATTCGACTCAATTGCATCTTCTATGCAAGATCAAGGAATTCACCTCAATTGGAAAATTCGCTTGAGGTGAAAAACATCCTGTGAGTAAACCAGAGCAAGTGACCTGGGGCCTCATGTATAGAAAATCTAAATTGTTACCAAGTCAAGTATAAAAACTAAAACTAGTGGAAAAGGGATATAAAAAGTCTATTATAATTTTGTTAATCATGATTCATTTGAAGGATGATTAATATCGTAGTCAAAATTATTACAAACATATGTGACATAATTTTGACAAGTCCAGATTGTAATGTAAAAATTATAGCCATGCCAAAAAAGACGAACTAATTTTTGGGTTTATCTGTCATTATTATGTAAAATATATTGTAGGACTTTTTTTATTTCATAATAATACAGTAATTGTGACTTGTGTATGATCTTAATTATGATCTTATTTGGACTTTTACTTTGTGATATAGAAGTATGATTATCTTACATGGCAAAATGGG